CAAAATAAAACTCCTAAGAAACCATGTCTTCCCTGCTCAAAAATCTTCAGTGGCAGCTCCCTATCACCTATAAGCATAACATACCAACTCCTAGGTTTAGCATTTAAGGCTCTCCAGAGTCTGGTTCCACCCCACCTTTCCAACCTTACTTCATATTAGTCCCCTTCACACACATTACACTCCAACCAAACTTGCTGTTTGCTAAACCTGTCCCACGCTTTTCTCCAATACAACTTGGCAATGATGCCCATTTTGCACTGATTGCACCCCCCCCATTACCTACCTTGAACTCTCTAGTCTTCTCTACTTTCAAGAGTCCTTTTCTCCGTTCAAAGCTCAGCTCAGGTGCTACCTGTTTTATGTATCCCCCACCCCTAAAGCTTCTAGTTTAAAGTGCTCTTTCACTCCTCAACCTTCACACCTTGATCTTTCCTCTGCCCCTGTCACTCCCTCATTTTACACTTATTTGTGTACAAGGCATCCCTCCCACCCCATAAGTTCCTGGATGACAGACTGTCATTTTCTCTTTGGATCCCTGACACCCGTCATAGTGCTTTGCATATAAAAGACACTTTTAACCAAAGAGCACAGACCCCACTTAATCAAGGAGCAGGGTTCTGCTATAGCTTTCTGCAGCAAATAGTGGCAAACCAAGGCACGATTATTACAATTTTTAAAATCGGTCTCTTCCTGCCTCTATCAGTGACTTCTTGGCCCCCTCTCCTCTTACCAAGAATGAGGAGATAAAATCAGCAGGTCTAGGGCAGAGTCTACTATCTGGAACGAGGACAGAGAGAAAATGGCTGAACTGCATCTCTCAGCCATTCCCCATTTTTAATTAGGAATATGAAATGTTTTATGCCTGTGACCGGCTAGAAAGATGCTGGAGCTCATAGTTGGGGTGGATGAGGGAGGGAGAAGTAGCGAAGATGAGATACCACAGCAGGGGGTCTTAAGTTTTTTGTCACAGACCACTTTGGTAATCTGGTGATGACAATGGACCCTCTCAAAATGTTTTTGAATGGATAAAATACGTAAGATTCCAAAGGAAGCCAATTATAGTACAGTGAATAAATTATTGTACTTAGAATGAGGAAGACCCTAGTTCAAATATTTTCCAGTCATTTACTAGCTGTGTGACCTTGGGCAAGTCATGTGACCTCTCTTAGCTTTAGTTTTCCTCATCGATAAAATGGGCATAATAATAGTACCTACATGACGGGTTGAGTAATAGTACCTACATGATGGGTTGTTGTGAGGGTCAAATGAGATAATGTACGTAAAGCACTATACAAACTTCAAAGTGCTATATAAATGTTATTATCAATAATAATAATTTTATAAGAATACTTTAAAATCCCAGGTTAAGGATCTCTGTGACCAAAGAAAAAAGCTAACAAATTTATCAATCTGTGAATTAAAGATCAACATTTCCCACCCTACATACACCATATTCACAGACGGATCTTACAGAAGAAAATGAACGTTTGCTCTTCCAGTATACTTTTAACTAGCTTTATTTTAATTTTTTTAGAAAAGAACTCATTATTTCAACAACAAATACTTAGATGGTACTTTATAACCTTCTTTCCAAGATTAAGTAGGCAGATGTAAATTACTTCCATTTAACAAATAGGGAGCCTAAGACACAGAAGAGTTAAAATGACTTCCTCTATCCCAAAGCTGATAAGTGGCAGAGGATTTGAACCCAGGTCTTCTGACTCTAAGTCCAAGGCTTTATCTACCACATCACAGTCAAAGTAAATAAACGTTTTAAAAAAAAAAGTAAATAAACATTATTATTCAGGACTCCATTCCTAAGATGAGAAGCCACAGACATTTTGTGGAATCTAATCACTGGTTTAAACATTTTCTCAAGTGAGAACAAACTTGAACTATAGGGATGTCAAAACCACCCCAGGGAAGATAGGGAGGCCCACAGCCTGGTAGGAAGAAGATCCTTTTCAGGATTATATATTGGTAGAGTTGAAAGTTCCCGAATTGTCATCAGATTTGGAAGCCTCTGAAAATTCTTGCTGCCGGGAGAGAAATAAAGTTAGTTGATCAAAGTGGGTAACAAGCTCATTCCTGGCTCAGCATAGGGATCTGGCAGCTAAATTAAGTCACCATCCTCACCCCTCCCTCCTAGCACAGCAGATACTCTTGGAGGTCCTGAGCCTTTCAGCTGCAAACAGAGGGCAATGATGTCACCCTGACTGGATGTGGGTCAAGTGTCAGTCATCAGCCCCAGCAAGAGGTTGTTAACTCAAGGTCAATTACTTTGTGCCTTCAGTCTGGCATAGAAAAGACGCATACGTACATGTGCATGCTCCAAGCCATGATGGATTATGAAAGAGACAGATTCTGTAGAACAGAAATGCTAAATATTCACCAAGCTGCTGGCTGAGTTTCTAATTAAAAAATAATGAGTTGGTGTCCAGGGAAGCAACAAATATTGGCAGACTGGCACCTTGAGATATCCACAGACCAGATACCAGATGCCAATCTTTGGAGCTGAGAGCCCTCTGACTTGCTGTTGACTTGACCTCATGCTAAAGTACAAAGAATGAGTTTAGAAAGTAGCCGATGTTAGACTCATACAGGGAGAATGCTATCTGAGACACCATAGCCATACAGCAACTAACACTAGATGAGGGCTCCTAAGATGGGGGCCACAAGATAACCTGGCATAGCCCGGTGGAATGACCCCCTGAATATATTTGGATTTGACCCGACCTTGAAGGAGCAACAAGTGACCGTGGCTAACCTCTTACATATCAACCAGATGGCTAATAGGACAAGTATCGTTGCCAGCCTGTGTGACCCTGGGCAATTTCATTTGAGTTCTCAGGGTTCTAGACAAGTGTCTAAGACTAAAAGTTGCAGAGAAGGTGCTGACCTGAACTGGGAGCGTAACAATGAAATCCTACGATCAGTCTTGTCATTATCACATTATCTGGGTAACAGCTTTATCTACAGAGGCAACTAAGCATGAGCCTCTCTTCCTAAAAGCCCAAACCAACTAATTCAGACAAATATCTCCTCCCCACTATTGTGGCTTTTAGATGCTTCTAGTTCAATTCAATTCAACAAGCATTTATTAAGTGATGGGCACTGGGAATTCAAGGGCAAAGCTAAGAAACTGTGGCCATCATTTGGGTGTAGAGGAGAGAATGTACACAAGAAATAAAGATTTAGCAACCAATTGGACATGAGGATATGAAGGGTCAAGAAATGGCTCTGAGGTTATAAACCTGGATGACTGGAAAGAACAGTGGCACCCTCAACAGAAAGAGAGAAGCTTGGAAGAAAGGTCAATCTAGGGGTAAAGAAATTAGTTCTGTTTTGGATGTATTAAAATCTGAGATGCCTACAGGACATCCAGGTAGAGCTTTCTAGCAGGCGATTGGTGATACAATGCTGGAGTTTAGGATAGAGAGTAGGGCTGGATATATAGATTTTTGAAGTTATTTGTTTTTTTTTTAATTTTTTAAAAAAAATTATTTTTGCTTAGGTAACTGGAGTTAAGTGACTTGCCCAGGGTCACACAGCTAGTAAGTATTGAGTGTCTGAGGCTGGATTTGAACTCAGGTCCTCCTGACTCCAAGGTCAGAGCTCTATTCACTGTGCCACCTAGCTGCCCCTGAAGTCATTTGCATAGAGATGACAAGTAAACCTCTAGTGAGATCACCAAGAAAGAGAATACAGAGAAAGAAGAGGAGGACCAGGATGGAACCTTAGGGCATATCCACGGCTGGGGGTCCAGCTGGGGATGATGAGCTAATTACATAAGAAACTGACAAGTGGTCAGTCAGCTAGAAAGAGAACTAGGAGAAAAGAGTAAAACCAAAGCAGAGGGAAGAGAGTAATGCTATATAACTAAGTTTCTCCTAGAACTTTACTCTAGCACTTACATGAGAGGAGACTCACAGATCAATAGCATCAGAAACAAACAGTAAAATGAAATGATGAGGCAGCAAGTACCACTGTTTGGTTTAAGCAGAAGAAGTGGGACACTAGCCAGAAACATCATCTAGGACTAAAATGTTATTTTTCTTTATCCTCTTAATTAGTTTTATAATCTATTGGGCTGGAACTTCCTAGGAAGCCAGTCAGGAAAATGACGATGACTAAGTCACACCAGACGGCAGCAGGTGTAATGCAAAATATTCCAAGGCTATAAAAGAACTGGGATCCTGACAGCAGAGTCAGGGCTCCCTCACGACATACACAAAGAGTGATCCAATGATCCTGTTATTTTTTTTTAGTTTAATGTGGGTGCCCAATGTCTTTGTATCAGAGTCAGTTTAGCCCTCCCCTGCTTCTCCAGATGGAATACTCCCACGTGACAAAGCAAAACAACGGAGCAAAAACATCTGCTTCAATGACTACATCTGGCAGCATATACAATATTCTGTCCTAGTAGACTTCCACCTCTCTGCTTCAAGGTGGACATATTTCATTATGATTACTACGCTTAATCACTTTTTTATGCTATTATTTTAATGGAATTCAGTCACAGCTAGAGGAGGTGACCCTTACTAAATAAAGCTTCTATTAAGATGCTTTGGCACATCTAAGCAGGGCTGAAAATCTACATAAAATTGGGGCAGCATGTTTCCACAGAAAACTAGATTTTAAATGTTAAACACTCAAAAAATAACTAGGGTTTTTGTTGTTGGTTTTCCTAAACTTAGGAGGCTGTCCCAGTGAGAGGACTGGCTCTTATAAAGCTCTACTCAGATGATAATGAAATCAGCAGATATTATTAGGTCAGTCTGAAAGAAGGGACATGCAAGGACTGCCACACAAGCCTTAGATCTGACAGATAAGAAACTGGAGAGAAAGTGAGCTCCTTCCACAAAAGAAAGGACTGAGATGGTGACCAAGAATGCCACCAAGAGAACAGAGTGGCCACTGGAAAAGTGATGCAGGTTCTCTCCCTACAGCCAACCTGTCTCAGAAAGATCCCATTCTGAAGTTCAAGTGTTTTCCCCTTTTTAATTTTTATCTGTACCTTCTGTTTTCATATCATCTTCATTTCTAAATATATTCTTCACCCTTCCTCTACCAAAAGAATCATCCTTTAAAATAAGGAAAAAGGGGGGGGGAAGCAGTTCAGCAAAACTAATCAATTGAATCTGACAGTAGATGCAATATTCCACACCCAGCGTTGCCCCACCTTTGCAAAGAAGGGAGGGAGGTATCTTTTCTCATCTCTTCTTCAGAGTCAAGCATGGTCATTGCAATTACACAGCATTCATTTTCCATTTTCCCCCTCAGAAGTTAAACTGCCAACTTCCCTCCTGCACACAGCTTTTCCACCCCAGAGATGGCACTGTGTGTCATCAGGAGACTACCCGTCCTGCCCTGTCTGTGTGTTCTGTGAGGACAGGTAGATATTAGAAAAGGCGGATTACCACAAATTCAGAATATGTGCTGGCAACAGAATGAATCTGGAAGTTTCCCTGGAGTAGAGATGGCTGAGAATATCCATTGTTTAGAACAGTCTCATCCAAGTCAATGGTCCTGTTATGCTCCCGTTGGCTGGTATTGAGCGTCTTTTGCCCCAGGGAACCAATATTCCAGGACTGGCCAAAGGAAAGAGAAGAATAGAAGACGGGTGAGCATGACTAAAATGTCTGAAGAGGAAACCTGCCAGGTGTGGAGGCAGGAGCCCAGCACTGAGAGTCAGGCCTGGGTTCTTCCAATAAGGACTACCACTACCTGGGAAGGACCCTCATGAGAAAAATCCCTTCGTTCCCTGTAACTTCTTCATCGTAAAATAGGGTACCTGCCCCTCTTCAGCCATAGGGAACTTGTGAGGTTCAAATGAGGTAAGAGGTGAAAATATTAATAAAATATATTCGTATGTAATTGTCATTCTATTCTCCTGTTATTTAAAATGGAAGTTACTGGAAGACAGAAATCTGAGAAATAAAAAGCATTATTTGACTACTCCCACCATTCCTTCAGGTGTTCTTTCCCCTCACAACACACCTATATCTTTTTTTGTGCTTTCCCATTTCATTGGTCAGTTCCCTTATAGGGGAGAGAGAAACAAAACAGGGGTTGAATTGTTCTGCTTTTTCCATTAAAATTTTCTCATGGAGAAAAAACTTTTTGCATTTTTAACTAGCTTTGAATCACTTGAGGCTTCAGCCTTCCTGAGACTCTCCTGTAACACATCTATGCCATGCTTTGTTTTATGCTCTCAATTTCATCATTTTTTTTTAATTTTAAAAAAGTAATTTTTTTGGAAACTTAACATTAAACATCAAAATAAACAACTAAGCTTGTTTGGTAATGATTTACATTTTAAAGAATTTCAGCACAAAATAATAACTTCTTTTTTGCCCTTCCTCCTAAGTCTCCATGAGGAGGATTCTTCGTCCACTCACTCTCACTATTTTACCTGTGGCCTATCTCCTCCTGCCTATTCAAGCAGACCAAGTCAATGTAAATTTTTTTAAAATGTCCCCCCATTGTTTTTTTTAAAGCCTAAACTTTTTAACTTTGCGTATGCTACAGAGAGGCAGTATAATATAGTAGGAAGATGAGTATGAGAAATTAAGATCTGAGATTTAGTCTTAACTCTATCACTAACTAGCTGCGTGGGTCTCAGGCAAATTGCTTTCCCTTCTCTTGGTCTCAGTTTCCTTACCTACAAAATTAGGAAATTGTACTAGATGAATTCTACAGTCACCTCAAGTAAATTCAGCAAACATTTACATAATGAATGCCTACTTCATGCAAGGTACCCTGCTAGGGATACAAAGATGCACATGACATAGTTCTTGCCCAAAAGCAGCTTACAATTCAGCAAGGGAGGTAAAACAAGAACATAAATAATTGTAATACAAATTGCAACATATTAAGTGTACTGCAAAGGTAAAAAGTAGTGTGAAAGATCTCAGCAAGGACAGATCATTTCTAGATTTTTGATAAGGAGAGATAAAATCAGGAAAACCTTCACAGATGAGATGGTCTATGAATTAGACCCTGGCAAATGAGAAAGTTTCCATCACATAGAGATGTAGAGGACAGAGACCAGTGAAGGAACTTGCAAAAAGCAAGGCAGGAGAACCTCATAAAACTTTACCAGGGCAAATGAAGCACAGCTCACAATAGATCTAAACTAAGCTTTCAAAACTCCAGTGGTCAGGTCTATGGGCTCACCAGATCATCAGCTGACAGCTGGAAAGGACCTTCGAAATCATCAAGTTCAACCCTCTCATTTTACAGACAAGGAAACGGAGGTTCAGAGACACTAAGTGACTTGCCCATGGTCACACAGCTAAAAAGTGTCAGAGGTAAAAAGGGAACCCAGGTTTTTCCTAATTCCAAATCCAGCACTTTAACCTCTCGGCACTCTGCCTCTATTGCATTCTAGTGATGCAATGGAATGTTTTGGTTGCTCCAAAAAGCACCCTGGATATATGATATCATGCTTTTCCAGTTTTTTGAGTCTTTTGTTTTAAGGGAAGGGAAGAGAGAGAGAAGGTAGGTCGGCAGGTGAATGTATGTCTGTATGCATAGGCAAAGAAAGATGTAAGTGGAGAGAGAGCTAGACAGACCAAAAGGTCTGGGAGAGAAAATAGCACTCCTAGTGTCTTGTTCATTTAGCAGAAATCATGGAAAACAGTGGTCTATTCAACTAATACAGAATGATGAGACAAAAGCCATTTCAAAATTTATCTTGGAAACCAGCTGGAAGAAATAACAGAGGATTTCAGTATTAACATAATTGGAAAAGACCAACTAGTAAAAACATTAAAAGTCTGCAAAGACTTTTGTCTATTTCTAATCAAATTAAAGTAACATTCATTAGTAATTATGAGGAGTGCCCATAATATTCTCAAAGGATAACAATTTCTCCTAACACCACTCAGCATGTGGGGTTGGAAGGACCACAACAGCAGCAGCTTGTAGTAGGAGGAAAAAGACAAAAAAAAACCCAAAAAAACACCCAACAACTTAGCTACTGCCACCATCCCCCCAGAACAACTCATTAGTTCCTGAAATCAGCTGCCATCCCATCCATCTCTGTTAAAATTTATTTGTTTTTTATCTGCTCCCCAGACATCAAGATCAGCACATCAGTGTGGGAGAACAACTATTTAATGATGAGCATGTTTATATTCACTTAGTCTCCTTTTATGTGGCATCTCAAGTGGAAGTCAGCTGAATGGAAGCTACAGAGTGCCTATTCATCATTACCTGCAATCCAGACCCCACTCAGAAAAACAAGAATATTTTCTTGTCTATAGTCCAATAGCCAAGAAGCCTATCCACCCCATACCCTTTGTAATCTCATGTTACCTTGAGAACTTTGCCTGTTATTTTGGATCCCAGGCCTTCCCTCTTGCTAGGAATTTTAGGTGTACTGCCATAAAACATTTCGACTTCTATCTGTTGGCTCTTCTTTAGATGCTGAAGGAGAACCAGAAAAAAACAGATAATCACAACAAAAAAATAGGAAGGTTAGATACATAAGACAGGAATGGGAGATGAATTGATAGACAGACCCGAAAATGAGGTTGATAGATAGATAAAGCATTTTTAAAGTGCTTACTATGTGTCAAATACTGCTCATTTAAAAAAAAAAATCTGGTATCAAAATATTCACAGCAGCACTTTTTGCAGCAGCAAAGAACTAGAAACAACATACATGCCTATTGATTAGGGAATGGCTAAACAAATTGTGGTACACTGATTCAGTGAAATATTACAGTTTTGTGACAAATGATAAATATGATGAATACAGAAAAGCATGAAAGATGTATACGAACTGATGCAAAGTGATGTTAGCACAAGGAGGAAAACAATGTACACAATAACTTCAACAATGTAAATGGAACAAGGAAGTGATCAAAAATGAATGCTACAATGTTACAACCAAGGTTGGCCTCAAAGAGGAGCTATGAAAGGAAACCTTTCTCCACTTCTTTGCAAAGGTGAGTATGATGGTGTGTAATACTGCATATAACATCAGATGTTTTCACTATGTGGGTTAGTTTTGTTGAATTGTTTTTTTTCCCTCATGTTTATTCTTTGTTATAGAGGGTCTTGGGGAGGAGTCTGGGGGCAGGGATGAATATATTGGAGAATGAAGGTGACAGAAAAACAAAATAAATCAATAAAAATTTATTGTAAAAAGAAAAATCTGATGTCACATCCCTAGGACAAAAAGAAACAACAACTGAAGTCAAGGTGCAGACCTGGGCTGGTTTCTCATCACCCATAGTCCCTAGCAGAAATATTATAATACACTTCATTATTTAAAAACAAATAAAAAAAACTTACTGTTTTTCTCCTTTCCCTTTCTTTATTCAGACTTACTCTCTCCTGCTTTGCTTTCTCTTTCTCCAAACGATGCATCTCCCACTGCTCCATCACATACTCCATGAACTTCTGTCCATTCACCACAAAGGCCTTTGAATATTCTTGTTCCCACAGTTCAATCTGTGCTTTCAATTCCTCTTCCAGCTGGAGCCAAAAAAAAAAAAAAAAAAGGAGACTACTGTCCCCAACTCTTTTGTCACAATGAAAATCCCAGAGATCTCTTCAAATGAAAACTTCTGTTCAGGAGCTTCCCTGTGGTATCTCTAACAGGAACATGTAATTCATAGCAAAGGATGTGCCTGTCAGTGACTGGAACGTTCAGATGCTAAAAAACTTAAAGACCTGGTTCATTCACAGGAACACTGAGAAGGAAGGAAAACCCACAACCCTTCATTTTTTCTAAGAAGTTCCTGTTTGGGCTGCCCAAGGTGCTATAGCACCTATGATTTCTTAATCTTATGAAACTGAAGCTTAAAATGTGGCTAGAGATATATATGTGAGTTCTAAGGATCTTGGAGGATTTAAAAAAAAAAGAGTGACTAGGAAAATTTTGGAGCTAAAAACCCTACCCATCTCCTCCCAAAAGGGGGACTATTTTTCACACATGCATAATTTCACAATTAATATTTTGGAGGGGAAAATATCACCACTATCAAAACTCATTGAAGGGGCCTCTGTACTCATTACACATCCCAGCCTCAAATCTCTCTCTACTCTAGTCCATCCTCCACTTGTCTATCAAAATTTTCTTTAAGCATGAAATCTGACCACGTCACTCTCCACTACTTAATCAACTCTATTACCTCCAGGATAAAATAAAAAAATCCTGTTTGTTAAGCTCTTTATAATCTGGCCCCTTCCTACTGTTTCAGTCTTTTTGTGCCTTATTTCCCTCCCCACATACTCTGTGATCCAGTCACACTTGCTGTTCCTCACACCAGACATTTCATCTTGCAACTATGTATTTTCATTGGCCATGCCCTATGCCTGGAATGCTCTCCCTCGCCATCTCCACTTCCTGGCTTTGCTGGCTTCCTTCGAGTCTCAGCTAAAATCCCATTTTTTGCAAAAAGCCTGGTCTTCCTTAATGCCCATACCTTCCCTCTGCAATTACCTGCAAATTATCCTAGATAGATTTCATTTGCACATAATAGTTTGCAGATGGTCTCTTCTATTAGACTTTGAGAGACTGCCCCAAAGTCCAATTGATGACAAGAAGCCTTGATATGAGTCGTTTATGTAAATTAGATAAGAATGAGTAAACCCAAGACTCTCACAAATCTATGAAGGCTTGTCCCTGAGCTAAGCAGAGAAATTACATCATCACAGGCTCCAAATGTTCATCAGCATTATTAGATTAGTACATAGAAGACATTAGTTATAGAGCAAAATCTTCAAGCATATGGTTTTCTGGAATTAGGGGTCAACCAGCCAAAGAAATGACACTACCTTAAGGAAAGTTTTTTGGAGCCTGGCTCTTTGTTTTTCCTCCTTCAGGAGGTTTCCACCACGGTTAATAAAACGACTTGGATCTGAAGCTCTTCTCTGTGGAGACAATTATGCTTCAATTAGAGCCAGTATTCAACTAGCAAGTCTTAGCATAACTAGTTAGTTCCTTGGAAGTCCCTTAATCTCAAAAAGCTATACTTAGAAGGAGCTAGGAAGGAAGTCTGATGTTTCCTCCCCATTCTAAGGTTCAGTTATGATAAAAATGAAGTCTGGTATTAAAAAAAAAGAATGAACCGAGGGCTAGATGGCGCAGTGGACAGAGTACCGGCCCTTGGAGTCAGGAAGACCCGAGTTCAAATCCAGCCTTAGACACATAACACTCACTACCTGTGTGACTCTGGGCGAGTCACTTAACCCCAACTGCCTCACAAAAAAAAAAAAAAAAAAAATTGAAAAAATATTTCAAAGTCTGGCAGGCTGACAAACTGGAGGACTAATAGAGGTAATGATGATGATCCCCCTTTTCTGATTACCTTGCTTAAATTATGTCAACCCCAGAGCTGCTGGATTGATTCCCCAGTCCTGGAATGCTCCCCTCCCTCACCTCTTAGACTCCCTGGCTTCCCTCAACATCCAATTCAAACGTCACTTCTGAAGGTCTTCCTTGGTTCCCTCTACTGCTAGTGACTTCCCCACTAAGGTTACTTCCCATTTAGCCTGTATATAGCTAAATATTTATATGGTTCTCCCATTAAAGTGTAAGCTCCCTGATGGCAGGGATAATCATGATTTTTTGGGGGGGGGGAATTTTGGTTTTCTTTGTAACCCCAGAGCTTAGCACAGTGTTTGGCACATAGTAAATGATTAATAAATGCTTGCTGATTGCCTGATCGTCTCCAATTTTCAAATCCCAACAAGAGATAGAAAGTAGGAAAGATTGAGATGATCTCCCCACACTAAAGCTATATTACCTGAAAAGGAATCCAAATGGATCCTAAACTGAAACAGATACTCAGGCAGTTTTATGAGATTGTGGCGGGGGGAGAAGCAGTTTATGAAAATTAGGAGACTTAGGTGGCAAAGTCAAGTGTTATAAGAAAACTTTTCTGGCTTTTACCACCATTTGCTTAAGACAGTAAGACACATAACTAGCTAGGATCCACAAAATCAAGCTAAGATATCTAACTGTAGCTCCAGTCATTAACTTGTTAGCAATAAGAGAATTTCCAGCTCAAGCTTTATTACTTCTACTTACTTAAGGATGTCACATAACTAGCTATCTCTCCAATGTTAATGGTCAGTCTACAAAGTCTCGCTATATTCCCCAGTACTTACTGACCAGTTTATTATTTAACCTGATATAAACCTTCCCCTTCTGCTAGCTGTTTTTTGATGTGTAAATCTTTGTTTCTAAACCCTTTGTAAAATTCCACAGTGCCCCGTCTGCATAACTAAGACTTTTATAAGGTTGCTGAAACTGCTGCTCAGGGCCCATTGGTTTTTGTATACTGTGGGTCTATGCTCTGGGCATAATAATAATATTAATAATAATAATAATATACATATACCTGTATTTATTGGTATATTACTATAATAAACCAGTATTTCTATGTTTCTGCAAGTCAGTACAATTGACAGAAGTACCTATCAACACATTCCTGGACAATTCACAAGTTTCAGAAATCTTGTATTGCCAAAGTCATGCAACTATGCACAAGACAATGTGACATACTTGGCATAGTGGGCAGAAGGCTGCCAATAGAGACAGAAAGCTCTGGAGTTCAGGAACTGCCTGTCACATACTGGCTTCATGATCCTGGACAATTAACCTCTCAATGCCTAACTCTCTCAGACTCTAAGTTGCAGAGAAGGGGTCGACCTGCTCTATTAGGGGGAGTTTCTTCATCTAGGTATCCCAGTGAAAGCCCAGATCCATTCTTCAACCCCATTTTTTTTGGCTGCCTTTCCCCTTGCCTTCCTCTTGTTCTGACAATACCAGGACGGTACCTCAAACTCCAAGAAGAGCTTCCAGTTTTCTTCCCACTTCTCGATGCCTTCAAAGAGCTCTCTGTGCACCTCATAGTAACGTTTCAACTGCACCACCTCAGCATCGTGGAGCTGGAGCAAAGTCTCCGAGTAGTCTTCTGTGTAACAATCAGGTTCCAACAGAAGAGGGGGAGAAAAAGCCCAAATTTGCCTCCATTAACATTTCAAAGTCCCTAAAAAATCATGACCCCAATTTTCCCTGCATTCCCTCACCTTTTTACTCAGCCTTTAATGCAAGTCTGCTGAGAAGGAATACATTCTTATTTTTCATTTACATTTACCGCTAGTAACCCCTTAAGGTCTCTGAAAATATACTACTCATTTTCTATAATATAAAATTTAGGTTTTTGTTCATTTTAGTCTATGCTTAAATATATCTTAACTGTTCATTAGTTTTCTCGTCATGTGGCTTCTTAAAAAACAGAAAGACAGAAAAGTACAGACATAGATATGAGAAAAAGGCAGTGAAACATGCAAGAGGCACACATATTTTCATAGAGTAACATCACCATCTTTAGCCCAGTGAGTAAATTGCCACTAATGACTTTAAAGTCACATTGTATTTATGTAACCGTGGACATAAATGAGGATGTCAGCCCTTGGTGTTTTTCCAGTCAACTGCATACAATTTTACTGAGCACCAGACACAGGCTCCATGACATCTCTCCCCTTTCCCAATCTATCCTTCAGACAGCTGCCACAATAATCTTCTCAATGCTGGGTCTGATTATATCAGTCCAAAACCTCCAAACCTCCAATGGTTCTCTATTGTCTAGAAGATAAAACACAAACTCATTAGCCTAGAATTTAAGGGACTCTCCATTTTGGCTCCAACTCATTTCATATTATTTTCCTTTGTGAATCTCACAGTCCAGATAAACTAGATTGCCAGATGTTCCCCAGTCCTATCCTGAACTCGCCTGCCTCTGTACATCTGTACAAGCTGTCTCTCAGCATTTCTTCCTTATGTCCACCTACTGAAATGCTCCCTTTTTGTTAAGGTCTAGCTCTGATGCCATGTCCTTCATGATGTCTTCCCCAAATCCCCAGTTAACAATGTGATTCTCTCCTCTTCCTAGATTCCGAGATCACTCTGGATTTCTCCTTTTTCCCTCTCATAGTGGACAGAGCATTAAACTTGGAGTTCAGCAAGACCTGAATTCAAATTCTACCCCCAAGATTTACTACCTATGTATCCCTAAGCAAGTCATTTAAGTTCTCTCAGTCTAAGTTTCCTCATCTATAAAATGGGGATAATAACAGAACGTGCCTCACAGGGTTGTATGAGATAATATACATAAAGGGATTTGCAAACCTTAAAGCTTTATATAAATGTTAGCTATTATTATTATTTCCCTTCTCATAGTTGTCAGTATACATGACATATTCCCTGAACAGACAGGCATATAGTAATATCACATCTATAATTTCCCCTTGGAAAGCCAATCCAGTCAGCTTTAACTATAACCTATCTGGATGACTCTCAAATTGACATTTAATTTCACTCAACCATTTATTAAGTACCAGCTATATACAAGGAACTATGCTAGGCACTGGGGATGAAAAAGTCCCTTCCCTCAAGCAACTTGCATAATACCAACTCAAGTTCTAATCTCATATCTACAATTGTCTACTAGGACATCTCCATTTCCACGTCCTGCCATCATCACTGATTTAGGACATCCAGAATAGAACTTCCTTCCTACTGGAAACAAACCTCCCCTACTTGCATTTTTTTTTTCTGTTTCTACTAATGACGTCACCTGGGCTCAAAACCCCAAAGGCATTTTTATCTCCTCCCTCTCAGTCAGTTGTCAAATCCTATTAATTCTTCCTCTGAAATGTCTCTTGTAGCTATCACTTCCTTTCCATTTTTATTGCCACCATGCTAGGCTAGCTCCTCTTAACCTCTTAAACTCTTACCCATTCCTTAAAATTACTGTAACATCGCAGGCCTGCCCCTAACTTCACCACTTCCCAACTATCCTCTCACCAGACTGCTATTAATAAGAATAATAGCTAATGGAACTTCTGGGTCATATGAACAACAAAATGGTAGACTAGACATTTTCTCCAATCCTCATGACCTCTTAAACTCCAAAACAGAAATTATGTATCAAAGATAAATAACTTCCACTGTTTCCATGGTCTTAGATACTCAGAATCCCCCCCCCCAAAAAAAGGATAAAAAAAAAACCTCCCAAACTCAGGTACTGACACCCATTGACCCTGAGCTCACTCAGCACCCCATCCCTAGTTGTCATGCAACCAGCACTGGCAGACCCAAGAATATGACACAAGCTTATATCAAAATCCACCCCAGTACCAGTGTAGCAAAGTTCTGAACTGCTGGTGGTAGGCCAGGGAACTGAAGAACAGAGAGAGGGACAGGTCATCAAGACAGGACACTGTATTTGTGGAGAGCTGTGCAGCACTCTACAAGAAGCCTGAGAGAAAGAGCACAACATCCAGCTAGGGCTAGTGCTGACTAAAAGTCACTTAGGGCAGAAACCTAGGCTGGTAAAGAATGAAATGCCCTTTGTGGAAGGAAGCTAAGATGCTTTGACATCCAGTCCCCAAGGAAGCCACAATTAGAGGGAAGGGAGTCAAAAGTGAGTGATAAGGAAAATGGGGGGGGGGGGGGAGAAAGTACCAAAGATTTCAAGAAGAAAACTCAAAGACCTTGTACATAAAGAGATAAATCAACAGGAAAAACAATAACCACAAAAGGAAATATGGCCTCTGGGTCTAGTGAATGAGTTTCCAGCATCTAAGAATAAATAATGCAAAATGCAGAAAAATGATTCAACACTTGATGAGACAAGAGGACCACGTAGAACTTGAAGCAAACACGGAACCATAAGATGCTGTTTCTTAGCGGTTTAAAAGAGAAACGAGTATTAAAGGAGCAGAATTTATGGATTGTGCAACAAAAATAATGAGAACAGAAAAATTTGAATCTGTAAAGAAACAAAGGAAAGAACAACAAATTGGCAATAAAAAGATACAGAACTAAAGGACAATCTAGAAGAAAAAAAAGCAAAAAACAATAACATTTAAAGAGAATATGTTCACTATACAAGCAAAACATAACCATTATCTTTGAAGATAGGTTTCACAGAGACAATCTTAAGCACCAAAGGTCTCCAAAAGAACACAACAGATAAAAAATCCTTAACACCATAATGAAGGAAAAATAGGAGAGAACTACCCAGAACTTCTAAACATAGAAAATGAAATTCCAGTTGAAAGAATTCATAGATTGCATTCAGAAAAAAAAAAAAACCAATGCTGCAAACCGTGGTTAAATATAACAATCCAATTCAGAAACAAGTTCAGCAAGCCACCAGGAAAAAGACCTTCAAATACAAAGGAAAGGACAGTCAAATAATGCAAGACTTTTCTGCATCCACTAGAAGAAGGAGTGAGGAATGGATTAATGTATTCCAAACAGCTATGGAGCTCAGGATGCAGCCAGGTTGACCTGTCCTACAAATATGAGCTTAACCTTACAGGACAAAACTCCTTCCCCCTCTCCTTGTCTCAAACTACAAATATGCTTCAGAACTCTGTTCTTGGCCAGTCATAGAAGGTATGATTACTAAATTAAAAAAAAAAACCTGTAGATGGCACCAATCCGAAAGTGTGACCCCAAGCAAATCACTTGACCTCTCAGCGCTCGCTAAAAGTATAAGTTGAAGAAAATGTGCCACCCTGCCTTGGTAAAGGGACTTTTGTCACCTGGGATTTACGTACATCAATGAAATCACAATCTCCATCCCTTGGGTATTTTATTTAGCCCCAGATAGCTTAAATTTAAAAGGGTCCTAACAAAACAGAGTTTATCCAGAAGACAAGAACCAGACCATGATGGGGATCCAGTAACCATCTCATAGAAGGAATGGCTCGTGTACAAAATATGATTCACATTTATCTCTGCAGCATGTGAGTGGCCTTAAATCCCTGTTAAAATGAGATAGTTACGCACACAGAAGACTGGAGATAGCTACCAGGTCTCCCCTTAAGTAACTGAAAGGCTATTATGCAAAGGAATGACCAGACTTGTTCTATTCTCTTTCGAGAACATAACTAGGACCAGCAGGAAGAAAGAGACAGATTTTAGCTTACAAGAAGAAAGGACTCTCAAGTACAGACATCTGCCACTACAACAGACCACCTTACGGGGCAGAGAACCTCCCATTACTGAAAATATTCACAAAACCCCCTGCTGGAAGGAACCAACAATCCAGTGAGAATTTCCTCTGACATGATCCCTTACAAGTACTCATACCATCTCTACTTGAAGACCTTCAAGCAAGGGGGAACCCATCTCCCCGGGCATTCCATTCTACTTTTGGAGATTTTCCCTCATGTTGAGCCAAAATGATCCTCTCTGTAACCTCTGGGACCAGGCAGAGCAAGTCCAATCCTTTTTCCAGAATTGCAATCCTCCCAACATTTGAAGACCAATCACGTTTCCTGTGTTCTCCTCCCACCAAAGCCTTCTCTTCTGCAGGTTAAACATCCCAAGTCTCTTTAAATAATCATTGCTACAGCATTGTCTCCAATCCCTTTACAATCCTAATTGTCCTCATCTAGTCATGGTCCACTTTGTAAAATGTGGCACCCAGAGCTACTCCCAATATTACAGACTGATTTGAGAGACAGTATGGTACTGTGTGTAGTGAACTGATATTAAAAAGACCTGCTTACAAATCCCACCTCTGACAGACAAATCCTGGCTTTGGGACCCTGTACAAGTCACTCAATCTGCCAATACTCTGGGCATCTAATATCATAAATTATGACTAGGTATCAATCTGCCTAGGTAGAGAGCATTTCCTCACTGGAAGTTGAGTAAGTGACCAGTGAAACCACAGGTCCAGGCACCCCAAAATAAATCACTTCCTTCAAGGCTCTCTCAGGTCAACCTCACATCCTGTTAGCTTTTTTGGGTTGCCACATCATATTACTGTCTCCTACTGAGCAGCCCATCACTTAACCTGAACCTCATTTTTCCTCATCTATAAAATAAGAAGGCCAGACTAGCTTATCTTCAAAGTCCCTTCCAACTCTAAGTCTGTGATCCCATGAACTAGAAAAGGCAGGCTGTGTCTTAGGTCCTCTTATAAATGGATATACTTGTTGTTACACAAATAAGTGAAAACACAGTAACACAAAAGAGCAAGCCAACAGGTGCATCTACCGGGCTGTGTCTACATCTCCCATACCAACCATCATAGTAGGGGGCAAAGATTTCTCTCTGCTCCTGGCTGTAGAAGCACTTTTCCCAATACAGAGCCAGCTCCTCTCTGACAGCTTCAATCACTTTTTTCAGGTTCTGAATCTTCAGCTCTTCCAGCCGATCTGCTTCTGACTGAAGCTGCCGAAAGGGGGAGGAAGCATCAAAAAGAGCTTGCTGTTCTTTTGTTTAATTTTATTTACTTATTCATAATTTATGGAATAAAACAAGTATTTCCATAATGCAATATAATAAAAAGATGATCGCACATGAAACTGCAAATCTATGATGTACAACTTGCTATTCCTTTTAAATATATAATAAAGGTATCATGTAAATTTCGTTTTTTTTCCTTTTTTTCTTCCCTCCCTCCCGACTTAGAGATGGCTACTATAAGATACAAAAAATATACATATGTAATGTATATTACATATATACAGATATAATACATGTATATATATGTAAAATTATTCTATAGCTACTTCTATTTATCAGTTCTATCTCTCAATGCAGATAGCGTCTTTCTTCATACAATCTTTATAGTTAATTTGGGTATTTATAATAGCCAAAATGACTTGTTCACTCAAAGTCATTCTTAAAACAATATTGCTGTTACTGTATACAATGATCTCTTGGTTCTGCTCATTTCACTCATTATTTCATGCAAGTCTTTCCATGTTTTTCCAAGATCATTAAGCTCATCATTAGTCATAGCACAGTAGTATTCCATCATAATCTTATACTGAATATTCACCTGAGCTCTGCTACATTTCTTTTCTGCTTTTAATGGGCCACACATAGGCCTTAGTTTAGGGCACTAAGAAAGAATATCCTTTCCTATAGGATGCATTTTGTGAGTATCAGCTTATTGACCAGCTGGGCAGGGCACACAGTAATGGAACATTAGGCTATTTTTCAAAATGCTAACTACTCAAACCTTTGTTCCATGATGATTTCTAAGAGCAAAACCATAGAAGAGGTTCCCTGCCCCAAAAGAAATCTTGCAAACTAGAATTAAGGAACAAGGCTTATTTAAAATAGCTTTCAAAGAAAACGTGTTTTATAAAAAACAATCATTACTAACTACTGGCCCAGTCAATCTATCAAAATACAAGCATTTATCAAGCACCAACTTTGCACCAGGTACTACCAGAGACAAAAATGAAATAGTTCCTGCCCTCAAGAAGCTTATATTCTATCAGGGGAAATGGCATATACATAAATAATCATATACAAAATAACCAGAAAGTAATGAGGGTGGGGAGAAATACCAGTAGTTGGGTGAAATCAGGAAAGACTTTGGGTAGAAGGTAGCACGTGCATCAAATTTCAAAGGAAACCAGGGAGGTGAGGTGAGAGGGCATCCCACGGACGGGAGAAAGAAAGTTCAAAAAAGTGGCCCATGAGCCAAAAGCTATTGTCTTCTCAGCCAGTGCTTTTAATGCCTACTGTGTTTCCTTACCGCTTTTCTCCTCTTGGGTATTGACCCAGTCATGAATGTAGCCAGGGCTTCTCTCTCCTCATAAGGAACTTGTAACTCGTCCCAGAGCTTTTGGATTTGAGAGTGTAGATCTTCGCACACAATCTCATTCTCAGCTCTCAGCACCTCTAACTGGAAAGGAAGGAAGGAAGGAAGAAATGAAGGGACAAAGGAATGAAGGGGCAAAGACAGACGGACAAAAAGAAAGACAGACAGACAGAAGGACAAAGACAGAAAGAAAGAAAAAATTAGAGAAAAGGGCTGCTTCACAGTAGGCCATTCACCTTCCCAAAGAAGATGCCCAAAACATACCAGCTTGCAGGGAGAGAGACAACAAATGAATCTTTGCAGTATATCAGGGGATCATGTTTGTATTTACAATTTTTTCAGCATATGGACTATGATGGAACATCCAGAAATCACTATTTTAGGGAAATGCCACAGTATAGAACCTCAGTATCCCAGACCAGAAATTCTCACCAAACACTAGACTGATGAAGGGGATGAATCAATAAACATTTATAAAGCACTCTATTATGCACCAGACACTGCACCAAGCACTGAGAATACAAAGAGGCAAAAGATAGTCTCTGCTCACAAGGAGCTTACAATCTAATGGAGGACTTGCAAGTAATACATACAGTCCTAACTTTAGCAGGATAATGATGCCTTCTTCCTCCTCTACAGGAGGAAAACCACATCAGAGCTGCTCAAACACCATCCCCCATCCCTCCCCACAGTTATCTACCTGATATCTTATGAGTTAGATGCCTTTCATTCATTTAGACATCTGCTTTTTTATAAACCTGAATTCAAAACTAGAGATTTTTAGTTCTCTCCCATTTTTCCTCCTCATTTTTTGGCACTCTGTACTTGCAAATAAAATTTCCTCTCCCTATTAGAGATTGGTGATAAAGAGAGTAGACATGTTATTAAAGAATACTGAGGGGTACAGCTAGGTGGTGCAGTGGATAGAACACTGGCCCTGGAGTCAGGAGGGCCCGAATTCAAATCTGGCCTCAGACACCTGACACTTACTAGTCGTGTGACCTTGGGCAAGTCACTTAACCCCTTTTTTTAGCCAAAAAAAAAAAAAAAGGATACTGAGGCACTCTTATGGCTTTGGGTGAGAATCCCAACTCACAGAACAGGACAATCTCAAGGTCCTGATCCCAGCACTCCCTCAGCAACAGATCAGATCTCCAAAAAGGACCTTGGGCCAGGGTCTCCATACCTGATGTAGCAGGTCGTGCAGAGCTGCAAGTTTTTCCAATGACAGATCAGAAGTATCTTCATCTTCACATAAAACATCCTTTTCAACACTCGTGTCTGGGGTGTAATCTAACTCTTCCACAAGGAGTAGGATCTGCTTCTTTGCGCTGATAAATTCCTCCTGTCTGCATGCCTAGAAGAGCATAGAAATTGTGTGCCCCCCTCAGAGTGAGTCAAAGTGACTTTTAGAAAAGGTGCCTCTGTGTACTAAGCTTCAAATCTAATGCCTCAGCCTGACACGGAGGTAACCCTGGGTCCCTGAAAGCTCTGGCAGCAGGGTGCAAGCCCTGGCAGGTCCTCGCAAGCCGAAAAGGCCTCAAATATGGACCTGGCAAGGAACTACACTCACATCTACCTTGAAGGAGCTAACTGAGCTGGGTGGGGTTTATCACCAGTAGGATGGCCACAAGGCGATGCAATGAACTCTTTAAGAAAGACAGTGTGGTATGGTGGAAAGAGCACTGGAAAGGTTCGCCTCTGATGCTTCCTGTGTGACCGTAGGCAAGTTACTTAACCCTTAAAGCCTCAGTTTCTTCATCTGCAAAATGGGGGTGATGAGCATATCTTACAGGGTTGTTTTGAGAATAAAGTCAGCTATTATTATCAACCACCACCACCACCACAGATCAACATGGAGGCTGTGATCTGTATCAGGGAAAGCTCTCCCACTGATTAAAATGCAGACGCCTGGCGTGCCGGGTGTCTCTGCCACATACCTTTGTTTCAGCCAGCCTCGCCAAGTAGCATCTGAACTGGTCCAGCTCCTCCAAGCTGGGCACCGAGGCCCTGTCCATGCTGTAGGGAGTGGTGTGGAGGAGCTCACAGAAGGCCTGGTCTTGCTCTTGAAGCCTTTTCAGCTCACGCTTCCTATCCTCCTTCTGCTTTAATCTGACTTCCAGTTGGATGCCTAAGTCCTTCTCCAGCTGCAGCATGGTGATGCCCTCTTCCTCCTGTACAGGAGGAAACCCACATCGGTGCTGCTCAAACACCGCCCCCCCCCCCACACAAAATGAACCTTATTACATTAAAAGGGGAATCTGAGGACTTCGAGGCTGAAGAGGATTGAGAAAATATTCCAAGTAGTTCAGAACTTACTTGAAAATGTTCCACATTTAATTCAAAGCACAGACTGTCTAGTTGTTTTCGATGTAATGCTATGCTCTCCAGAAGCCTCATTTTCTTATTCTCTTCCTCTGCAATTATCATGTCCAAAAGGCTCTATGGCATGAGAAGGGGAAAATCAGCAATCCAACCTCTTCAGATTCTTGGGAACATAAAAACCCTGTGCTGTTTTCAAGAGGGATGCTCAGGAAAAGCATCTTGATTTGACAACCTACAGCTAATTTCTTTTTTGGGGGGGCAGTGGGGGGAAATCAGGGTTAAGTGACTTGCCCAGGGTCACACAGCTAATAAGTGTCTGAGGCTGGATTTGAACTCAGGTCCTCCTGACTCCAAGGCCAGTGCTCCCTAGTTGCCCCCCACACCCAGTTAATTTCAAGTAAGGAAATATTCTCCCAAACCCCTCAGTTCCAAAGTTTAGTGCTAGATGCTATGTGACGCAACAGTCTCCCCACATTCTTCTGGAATTCCTTTACATTTATTCTGCATTTAATTGTGTACAAATTGTTTATCCAGTAGAATACTAACTCTTTGAAGGCAAGGACTGTTTCATTTTCGTATTTCTATCTCCACTGCATAGCTGGTGCCTGGCACGTAATAGGTGCTTAAAAAATGCTGGTTGAACTGAAATTCACCACTGCCTAACATACCTTTCAATACATTTTTTGTCTCAGCTAGTATCTCCCTCAAGAGCGGATTCTCAACTGTTTTTGTATCATGGACCCCTCTGACAGTTTGGTTATACCTATGGACTCCTCAGAATTATATTTTTAAATGCATAAAAATATACAAGATTACAAAAGGTACCAATTATACTGAAATACAGTTATCAAAATATTAAAATAAAACAAGTTTATGGATTCTGAAGACCACGAACAACATCAACAGGTCAAAGCTATACTCACTTTCACCACTTCCGTCCTCTCTAGCCTCTGGTCTTCTGGGATCCCCACTGACTCAAAGAGATCCTGAAGGAAGCTCAGGGCTTTGTAGAGATAGGCCATTGATTCCACAGCCAGCACCTCACTGAAGGAAATTAGTGGTGGTAAAAAAAAAAAATAAATGAAAAGAAGTAGAAACAAAGTGGGTCCCCTCTCAGCTGAGGGAGAAAGACTAAACAAATTGAGTTATAATGGAATGCTACAGCGTCATAAGAAACAATGAATATGATGAATTCAGAGACGCACAGGAAGATTTATGTGAACTGATCCACAACGAAGTAGGCAGAACCAAGAGAACAACATATACAACTACATTCATGTAAACCAAAGCAACACTTTTCAAAGGAGGTCAAACTCAAAGTAGTTGCAGTTATCAGTCTTAGCCTGAGAAAACATGATTAAACACATTTCTTTTCTCTTGGTACAGATGTGAAGGACTACAGAATTGAAATGTTGCATATGTCAGATAAGTTGTTATATTGGTCGAGTTAGGTTATTTATTTACTTATTTAAGCAATGGAGGGCTTAGAGTGGTAGAGAGAGTTTTCTGGGAGGTAGTATAAAAAACTAAAAGCATAAAAAAACCTTTTTAAAAACCTATACATTTTTATCCATTTTTATATATTTCAAAGCATTTTCATATCATCTAATTTGATACTTATAATAACCCTATAAGGTATTACATTTATTTTACAGTTGAAGAAGCAAACACAGAAAAATTAAATGTTGTGTCCAAGATTATGTCCCTTGTTGGGGGCAATACCATGTCTAGAACTCCTAGGTTTAGGGCCTTTTCTACTCTCTTATAAATCTAATAAACCATACAGTTCCCAAATGGGAGGTATAGAAAGTGATCCTAATATAAAGTGCAGGAAATCTTTGAGCAATTGTCCCTCAACTGCTTTGTCACTTTAGAACAGAAAACCTTCCATCCTTATCAATCCTCATTTCATAGAATCATAGCATGTCAGAATGGAAGGGGATCACAGAGAAAGATAAAACTCTTGTTTTATAAATTAAGAAACTGAGCCCCAGACTACTGATGATGAAATATATCTCTGTCTTCTTGGTAGAGAGGTGGTGGGCCACAGGTTCACAATGAGGCACATGCTATCAGACATTGTGAATGTATCCATTTGTTTTGCTTACTGTATTTCTTTATTACAAGAAAAGATGCTACTAGATTGGTGGAAATTACTGAGAACTGGAAGAAATTTTTAAAGCATCCATAACACATAAAATAAAAGAAACTAAGGCCTAGAAAGCTTAAGTGATTTACCTTAAGCCATGCTATTTATTTGGTGGCACAACCAGAGCTGGGACCTCTATCTACGTCTGCCATCTCCCAATACACACCATGCTTTCTGTCTCTCATAACGCCTTCTTCTCTCATCAGAACAAAAAAACTCCCTAAAACTTCCTGCTTCATATTTTCCAACTCCAGCATCACCAGAAGAGCAAAATACCAAATTAAATCATGAAAATAGTTATTTTTTCTTCATCTATAATCCCACCTCTAGGGGGCATACAGAAAACAATGCATGAAAACAGCATCAGAAAAAATCCAACGACTTGTACAAAGGTTATTTTCTCATATTGACCTTGTTCACAACAAACCACTGAGTCTGCAAATAGGAGATATAGACGGTGATCATACTACGCACTTGGGGTGTGTGGGGTGAATCCATTGATTCCTTTGCCATTCAAGGAACTAACAATATTAACATATTCAAAAGATGGTGGGCCCCACAAAAAAGTATAAAACATAGCCCCTGTCTTAAAGGAAACTTTGAATAAATTGAGGAGAAAAGGTGAATCAAGTGAAAATTACAAGAGTTTTAGAGAAATTTTTAAAGATGACAATATAAGAGATAAAGCAGGCCATTATTGATTATCACATGAATTCTATAGATCAGTATTTCTCATAATGTGTTCCATGGAATCCTGATGGTTCCATGTGATATGAACAGGAAATTCATGAGAAAACTGCAACGTTATATTTTTCCCCTAAAATACTATGCCCCCTTCTTTTCTCTGACACTGTCACGACTCGGGGACAGGCCATCAACACTTCATATCTGGACTACTATAATCATCTCCATCGGTCTACCTGTCTTAAATATCTCTCCACTCCAGTCCATCCTCCACTTACCTATCAAAGTCATCTTCCTTAAGTCCACATATGACAGTGCCACCCCCTATTCAAGCAACACCAGTGGCTTCCTATATCCTCCAGGATCAAATATAAAATCCTGTTTGGCTTATAAAAGCCCTTTAGAACCTGACCTCTTCCTACTTTCCAGTCTTCTTACTCAGCTCCCTTCTGTGTACTCTACCATCCAGTGACACCAGTCTCCTTGCTATTCCTCAACCAAGACACTCCATCTCTTGACTATACATTTTCACTGACTGAATCCCATGCCTAGAATTCTCTACCTGTCTCCACCTCCTGACTTCCTTAAAATCTCAGCTAAAACCCTACCTTCTGCAAGAAGTCTTTCCTGACACCCCCCCCAATAATGTTGGTGCCTTTCCTGAGATTATCTTGTCCATATCTCATTTGTACATAGTTGTTTGCATGTTGTATCCCCCACTAAACTATTAGTTCCTTGAGAGCAGGGACTGTCTTTTGCCTTTCTTTGTATCCCCAGGACTTAATATAACGCCTGGCACATAGGTAGTGCTTAATAAATGCTTGTTAACTTGTTGACTTTTTTCTTGCAGTTCTAGCAGGAAATAAATGTCAGTCTGACATCAGTTTACCCAACTACCACCTATCATCTCAAGAATCTAAGTGGAAGGAAAGTAATCAAAATTTTGTTTTGATGTGCGTTACCTATGTAACAGAGCTTCAGCCAAGAACATGCATTCAGATTACAGAATTTTCATTGACAATCATTCTTTTTTCCTCCAGTAACTGATTGCTCATTTTTCTGCTCTGTATATATATGTTTTCACACTTATATGTATATACCATATTTTCCCCAGAATTTATCTCCACTCAACATTCACAGAATCACAGAACCTCAGAGTTGGAAGGGACCACAAAGGCCATCATCTAATACAATGCATATCTGAACAAGAATACCCTCTATAATCAATCAACAACTGAACGCCTACCAAGCACCAGGCACTGTACTAGGTTCTGGGTAAGTAGTCATCTAGTCTTTGTTTCAAGACCTTCTTTGAGGGGAAACCCACAACCTTCCAAGGCAATCTGTACCACCTTCATATAGCTCTAATTGGTTTTTATCTCACTTTAAGACTAAATATTCCTCTTCATAACTCTCCCTGTTTGCTCTGGTTCTGCCTCTAAAAGCCAAGCGAAAAAAGTCTAATCATCTTCCATGAGATGAGCCTTCAAACGCCTGAAAACAGCTATCATGTCCTGCTTCAGTCTTTCCTTAAGTCCTCATGTCACAACTCAAGGTCTGTATACCAGCGTGGCTGCCGTATACCAATGTACACTCTGGTTTAACAAAATCCTTCCTAAAATCTGGCACCCAATACTAATATAACGCTGATGGAGCTATGAGGTGGTTCAACTATTCTGGACATCAGTTTGGAATGATTTAAAAAGAATAAATAAAACTATCCATACTTTTGATCCACCAATCACTCTACTGGATACATAACCCCACGGAAGCTAAAGGCAGAAAAAAAAATACAATAAATACCAAAATATTCATAGCAGCACTTGATAGCAATCAATTAATCCACAAGCACATATTAAGCACCTACTATGTACTAGGCACGTTGTTAGGCACTGAAGACAGAAAGACAAAAGTAAAATTGTCCCTAGCTTCAAAATGCTTACATTCTAACAGGGGAGATAACCAACATATATGCAGGTACATATCCAATATAAACTAAACAGATTCAAGGTAATTTTTGAGGGAAGGTCCTAGCAGCAGAGGGAGAACTGGGAAAAGATCCATGTAGAAAGTGATGCCTGAGCTGACCCCTGAAGGAAACCAGGGATTCTAAAAGGCTGAGGAGAGAAGGGAGTTCATCCTAATCATGAGGGACAGCCTGTACAAAGACAGGGAGAAAGGAGCCTAACACACATGAGGATCAGCAAGATCTATACCATCAAGTATGTAAAGGAGAGTAACATATAGAAACATGTTTGAAAGGAAGGAAGGAAGAAAAGAAGCAAACAAGCATTTATCAAGCACCCACTATGTACCAGGCAATGTGCTAAGCACTCTACAAATATCTCATTTGATCCTCACGTAAGTGCTCTTATTATCTATATTTTACAGTTAAGGAAACTGAGGTAGGCAGGTTTAAGTACTTGCCCAGGGTCACAAGTTAGTAAATGTCTGAGACTGGATTTGAACTTGAGTCTTCTTGACTCCAAGCTCCAGTAATCCATTGTACCACCTAGGTGCCTTAGGCTGCCCCTTGGTTTGGGGTTAGTTTGTGATGGGCTTTAAATACACAGTTTATATTTGATCTTGAAATCAATAAATTGAATATAATAAACAGGAGAGTGCCTTGGTCAGACCTGCACTTTAGGAAGATGGATTAGAGAAGGGAGAAATGTGGCAGGGAGAGTAAATGAGAGACTATAATAAGAGCCTAGAAAAAGCAAAGCAGAAACCAAGTGGGCACTCAGAACGGGATAGAGCTCTAGCAACTATCCAACTGAAATAAACAGAACCAAAAGAACAATATATACAAAAGCTACAACAATGTACACGAAAAGATCACAAAGAGAAGCTGAACTCTGCGTCATGAAAAGACTCAGAACACAGATAATGAAACATACCTCCCTCCTCACGGCAGGGAGATGGTGGGGGGGATATTGTAAAATCAGATCACTACATCAGATGTTTGTGCTTAGCTGAGGGATCAATCTGGTCCAGAAATGACTATGAAGTTTAAAAAAAAAATCAATAAAATGTACTTTTAAAAAGTGCTTAAGAGAAAACCAGAATAAATAAATGTGGTATCCAGAACTGGACCTAATACTCAAGATGTTGTCTGACCAAGATAGAGTACACTTCTCACCTCCCTAGTCCTGCATCCCCTGCCTCTTCTAATGTAGCTTCAGATTGCATTTGAGGGTTTGGGGGCTTTTTGGT